ATGATCATTTCGCAAATGATTTACAAATTGTACTATCCACCTCAACATTTCTCACAGCTGTGCACTTTTTCAACTACTTAACTGTGGTGACAACAGAGTTTCAGTTGAAAACCATCTAGTCGAGAACACAGGTTGTGATTTTTGACACCAAAGTGTTTTGAACTAACGAAATATACTACTGAACAATATGAATACTTAGGAATCACTCAGACTGATATTCAGATTCGTAAATCATTTATAAATTGACCATCTGACTTAAGGTACGACGGGACATCCAAGTCAGCTGATAAAATCCTGCTAATCTAAACAATCTCCCTCTGTTAGCTGAGTTTATTTGGATACGCAGTTGGTGAGCTTGGGTCCAAACAGGTGAACGGCTGTCTTAAGTCCAAAGCATTCTGATCTGGATAGCGAAGTGGAAGAATACCAGGAACATTAAAACCACCTTAATCACTATTCGTATTACAAAACTGACGAGTAGTTTAAAAGCTATTTTAGTGAATAAAGAATATCCTTTTGATAACTTCTTCTCCAGCTCCTATACTTCAGTCAGCACCGAGGGATGAAAACTAGCATTAGTTACTATCTATCTAAAAACAGACAAAATGCGTCATCCTACCTACTTATGATAAGAAATAAACAGATAACATTTAAACCTGATTACTTCAAAATCACTTGGCCTCAGACAACTGACATTTGCAGACGTGGCATGAAGAAAGTTTCAGCTAAAAGATTCAGCTAGTTTGCTGAAGTGGATATTCAACCATCAGTCTCTTGGTCACTGATCAAACTGATGAGAAAAATTAGACTGACACTGGAATGAAATGGTATGAGGTACGGAGGTAATATTTTGCAACAGTCGGGACATACCGGAATAGATTCACCTCGACATAATAAAATTAGAAAAGCATATGTAAGCCCATAATACTTCTGGACACTTTTAACGACCTTGAAATGCAGAGTACAACGCTGATTTGCGAACATTTTTTGCATAGACTTGCAAAACCTGGCCATTTCAAGTTGATTATGCTTGGTAAATCTTCATCTGATCATAACTATTTCAGACTTACAACTTGCATTTGATGAAAGCATCAATAACCTAGTAGAAAGTTCCTGGTACGTGCCAGTATAGTGGAAATCGTTAGCTACCGGGTTTCAATGGTTCATAAATGTACTATGTAAGCAGCTAAAGCTGGCTGCACACTACCCATTATTCAGTTCTAGTGAGATTATACATGGTTGCGCCTAAGTAACATCCATTCTTACACTACAACTCTTGAAAAGACGTGTAACAAATAAAAATGTTCATCGGCATGATACTTCATCCGAGATAGTTTTGAATTAAAACTACTAGTGACCACTTTGTGTTCCACATAAAAAAGAGATAGACAGATAAAATCAAAGTAGAATCTTGCACAGAAATACATTACCTTAAGTTGCCACACCTTACAGTAGCACGCTAAGAACAAGGGAGTAAAAAAATGATACCAAAGTAGACGAAAGCGAATAGAAAATAACGAATTTAAAAATCAAGTTTTCTGAAAATGTTGTTCAAGCCTTAGAAGACTTCGAACAGTGCGTACACTTGCATCATTATCACAAATTGTCATCCTTGTCACCAAGAATTTCCTACCATTGATTCCTATTATTTCGAGGACCCCACTCGCTTAGTCTACATCTCCCCCATATGGCTTAGATCAGCAGTCAGTGACTTCATGCCTTGGTGTCATGTCTTGTTCAGGCCACCCTGAGTCTTTTTCCAACCTAATCCAACTTCGGCTAGTACCTCCTACAGAAGTAGGAGATGCGTCGGCATGATCCACATATATCCAAGACACCTCAGTCAGTGAAGATTCACAACCTCATGGACTGACTTGTTTTCCTAGCCTAGTACCCTTCGTCCAAACAAAACATCGCTCATATAGTGATTCCACAGTACAGGAGCAGTGCTGCAAAGAAAGTTACGATCGAAGACACATAAGCTATCCCGATTTCAATAGATGGTGACTCAAGTTGGCACATACCAAACTGGCTCTCTGCATCGGAGCTGAGTTTCATCAGCAACTATTCCTTTCGAAATGATGCAACTCCCCAAGCAAGCGAAGTTGTCAATAAATCCCACCACCTCAATCCTTATCCCTAAGCTGGAAGTAGTTGCTGGCCAGTCTTGAATCATCACCTTACATTTGCAGGCCCAAAACGCAGGCCAGAAATGTCTATATTTTTGCTCATTATGTTCAGAATAGCATGCCATTTATCACTGTCTTCATCCCCGTATTCCAAATCAACCAGATGACCTCCAGGGTGAATCAGTCAGTTACTATGAAATTACAGGTAAGTAAGGCTTATTCCACTAATGCTTCTACAAAAAAGTTAAACATGAACGCGGACAGCAGGCATCCCTGACGTACACCACCAGCTACCACTAATTATGTTTACAACCCTCCATAACTACTCACACAGCTGAGTGAGTTCCAGTAACGAGCATCGATTAGCATTATACACTTGCACGGTACTCCTTTCACATTTAACTACTATGATAACGCCTCACAATCGACTGAGTCAAATGCTGCCTTCACGTTAAGAAATGTGGCAAGTGTCGGCCACTACTCAGGAAGTATGACTGTGTTCCAGAACTTGTTAAAGGGAGAAAATATGATCGATGCACCCTCGTCTAGGCTTGAAACCTGCATAGTTTCCTAAACTCCAGATATGCATCGGATAACTATGGACCCCAGGATTTTGGACACGATAATAGCCAGAATGATCCCCCTATGATAGTCGCAAGAAAACTCTTCTTTCTTATAGACTGGAATGATCAGTGAAGTAGACCAGTATTATGGGATTACATCCTATTCCCAAATGCTTCCTAGTATCTCTGTCACTTTAATGAGCAATTTCTCGCTTCCATCCTTGAAAACTTCAGGTGGCAAACTGTCAGGTCCTGCTGCTTTGCATTGTTTAGTAGACAATATCACGCCAGGTTTCCTCAGAATGAGCACTGTTGTCACGTTCAAGTTAAAACTTACTTATCTCCTCTTTAAACACGTACTTGATATTCTCATTTTCTAATCGGTCTTGCATATTCTTAACTGCTACCTGGCTTCTGCAACCAATAAGACGTAGACATATACGGGTAGTACTAACGTGTGATCATAGCTATAACAAGCACTTCAGAAAGGGTGGCAATCCTCAACCTATACTATCCAACGATAACGTACAGTAATATGACCTGTGTCCACCGCTAGTCTGATATCCGTGGACACCAAGTGAGACTGTCTCACTGTATACTTGAAGTCAGTTTTGTCCAGAAAGAAGTGATTGTTAGAACAAAATTGCAACAGAAAAACCACCATCGTCGGTTATTCGGCATGGGATTCCATAAATGCCTCCAAGATGTCTCTCCGATTGGTCTAGTTTTCTTACTTCAGCATTTGGGTCGCCCGCTCTAATTACATCTGAGAGTTTTGCTTTATGTGGTGAAATTGACAGCTTCTGACAGAATTTTCCCCTTCCCCCACCCGAACTGTAGCTGTTGGAGTTTATGAATAGACACCGACAAGTCTCACGACCCATCATAGTTCTAAGACACTCATTCAGTCAAACAGCACACAGATGGTTGTTGACTGGTATCTAGTCGAAGCGCCTGTTATCCAATTTCGCATACGGTTCGAAAGTTGGAGGATGCATTGTGAAACCAAACAGCAAGGTCTTAAGATACCAGGACTGGTGTTTCGACAGTTTGGATTATCGGTAATGGCTGCATAGTGAGAGGTTGAGGAGTTTGTATAAGGCTTAATATTGGTAACAGGAGATGAAGGCAAAAGAGGAGACAGAAGGAGGATAGAATACGTTGGAGTGGATTTCGCATACTACTGGAAACGTGTGGAAGGCTGGTACTTCCCGGCTACTGAAACTATGTAAGTTGTTTCCGCAAGGTGTCTGAGAGATAAGAATAGATTCGGGTGACTGCGGAGTTCACGGGATATCTGCTTGAGCTTTGTCAAATGCGACTCTTTTACAGTTGTTGAATTAATATTTGTCCTAACGCAGTATAAAAAATACCCATACTGCTAGCACCCGAATGCCACAAGGCAGGGAAGAGAGTGCTATTTTTGAGATCAACATTATCTAACCGCCTTCCCTCCCATAGAGAATACAGCGACAGCAGACCAGTGCTGGTCTTTTACGGGGAACACGTAACTGCTGTCACATCCAAGCCAGCCGTATCACTTTACCCTTGGATCCCATCATAGCGTAGCAAATTACATTATAATGGTGACTGCTTCTCGTCTTACCAGTATTTCAATGACTTTCCTGGCATAGTAGGACCATAATAAACAAGCGTTCCGGCCAGTTAGGTTTGTTGAATAGTCATGATATGTAAGCTCAACCACCGAGTCAAGGTAGCAGCCATCTGTCGGGCAAGACGAAATAAAAGTGAAAAGAAAAATAATTCAATCGGTGGTTGGTGGCGATTGATTGGTCTCACATTAGTTTTACTACGGATTGATGTAAGTTGGAGAACCAGTGAAAACAGTGACAGAATATACTAATAATCATCCTGTAACGCGAATTGATAAAAGTGAGTAAATATAGACCACCGGGATCTAATTCAATCGCTGAATGGTAATATACTCACTGCAAGACCTGGAAGTCCTGACTCCAGTCCCTCACAAGGTAACAGGTAGGCACTAGAAAAGAAAAGTAAACTACCCTTGACTTGTGTTCTTATTCTATTGTCTTCATTACTATTAAAACTGCTTTTAATGCAAGTTAAACCGATATAAATGCTAATTCACTGCACTTATTGTGCAAGCGTTTATAATATCTACTGGTTGTCTAGGCCAAAGCAGGTTGAACGCGATTTAAATCAAGGACCCATTGGTTGAAGTAATGCTAATACTGGTGTCTGGATATTTGTGTCCCAGGTGTCTGTAATATTTTTATTTCAATGCATTCGATATATTTTTGTAACCTGCGTTAAACCAAATCAAATCAAAACGTAATACCAACTTTTTTTCTAGAAAATAAACACAACTTTGGTTAATGAGATTCAGTTCAACACATGTATGTGTCGGCGTATATAAAAAAAATAAGCATAAATGTACAAGAAGTGGTAAAGAATATGTAAAATATCATGTATTGCAAAGTGTTTCGGGTTTATCTTCTTTTACATCATTTGCTGAAAGAGAGGCTTGCTTCATAGACATTTCAAGTTCCTCTACTTTTAAGCATTCATAGCCAAGTTGCTCGATTTCTTTCAATTGTAAACCAACGAAATCTTTCTTCATTTTAAACTGAAAATTAAGCAAAGAATGAAACTGAATGCATACTATTTAAGAAACAGACTGTAGTGTCTTTTATCAAAGAATATATGTGATCGGTATTATTCAGAAATACTTTGGACTCTATGGCCATTTCTCATGCCGATAAGAAAAGTAATATCAATCGGATATGAACAAATAAGAAGTATCAATTGCACATATACCTTTAACCCAATAGAGACCCATCGGCTCAACATTGACTCTCTTCCTTTTCGTCTCCCGAATTGTTCCGCCTCATCTTTCTACAAACTCTCAAATTCTTAGCCCAAATAGTGTTAGTTCACGAAACGAAACTGATGATCTCATGAAACTGCGCTCTAAACTACATGTTGCAGTATTCAGTGTATACTCTTTTTCCATGAAATACACGGAAGATTCAAGCATAGTTTTTCATTTGCTCTTGCTTAACCAATGTAGTGAATATATACTATCCACTATTGATCAAAATGGGGATTAGGTGATGAATTCTGGTCTTGAACGTGAAATGAATGAAATTGAAATGCATTTAGCCACCACATGCATGCTTGTGCAGTTAGCAATGGGCCATACCTATTGTGTGAAAGCTAATAATACCATTTGGCTGAGCAAACGTAGGCAGATGGATCGAGGTTTAAACCCCTTTCGAAAGTACAAATAGATATATTAGGACAGGAAATATGAAACAATTAAGAATACCTTGCGCCTCAATCATCATCCATCCAAATTCACCAATAAATTCATGAGGAATCGCAAAGAGAATACGAGCGGTAGTAGTAACACAGGTAATAATAATAATAACAATAATAATAATGATAATGATAATAGTATTAGTACTGAGAATAAAGGTGACACTGTGGAAAGAGAATTCAAAACCTCTACTGTCACCGTACAAAGAGTTCTCAATAAGGCTGGGATTAGAGTCACAGTTAAACCTACAAACTAAGTTAGAAACAACCCTTGCACTTTAACAGACCTTATTGATCTGAATAGGCAAGATAATTTATTTTACCAAATCCCTTGCAATGATTATGAGGTCAAATATATAGGTCAAAGTAGTCCTCCAGGGTCAATTAGGCTGTTTGAACACAAGTGCTTAGCTAAATCCAGATCGGTAGACCCTAATAAAATAAAGAATCTAGAGAAAAGCTCAGTTATAGTTATCAATGCGATTGCACACAATCATTTACGAAGGTGGGGCAGAGTGATAGTATTAGAAACTACTTTAATTACATCTAGGGAGAGACTGATAACCAAGTCTTCGTTTGTCGAATCATTCGACAGGAATGATTCTGCACTTGTACCAGATATATGGAAAATTCTGCTACTCTACTAACAAAGGAGGAGAGAGAATGAAAACCATATAAACTATGTTCAAAGTTGTGGAGTTACACTATATGGACAATAAACTATGTCCAGAACGTTATCCAGTAACACTTTCATTGTGTGACACACATTAACCAAACAGGCTGAAAAGGAATACCTCTGACTGAAGCTATGGTATAATACATTTAACAGTCTTCGGATATGGTCTACAAGAAAATGTCTAGCGGTATGTAAATAATATCTGCTTATGATTGAAACACCTTAAACACAAAACTATTTTTTCCCTATAATCCTGGTTATATTATACTTTCTGAACTGGGTTGTTTAATTGTGGAGCTTTCATCATCTTGCTGGATGATATCATTAGCAATAACTTTATTATGAAGTAAGCTGTCAATATCTCTCCGTGAGTGATTTAGTACCTTGCCCTGAAGAATTGGTTTGTGATTGGTTGTTTCCTTTGATTGTTGTGTCATTGACGGTATAGACTTTCCTACTGGCTGTTCCTCTGCTTGACCTCTAACCTTTCTGTCGTTTGTCATTTTTCTTATTGGTTGATAGGTTGGGTCTATGTCTACACATTTATTGATTGCTGACTGACCTGAATGCCAAGTTTCTAGGAATTTTCTGATATTCTTTGTGTTTCCTCTATCCAAAATGTCTACACTTTCAAAATTGAACTCATGTCCATAGTTATCCACATGTATTGAAATGAGTGATGAAATGTCATGACGTTTAATAGCCAATTGGTGTTCATGTAGACGAAGGCGAAGAGGGCGACCACTTTGTCCAATGTAGTGTTGACTACAGTTATTGCAGTTGCTTTTGTAAATGATCTTCGGTTTATCTTCATTTGGTTGTTGCATCCTTTGGTCTGTATAATAGTGTTTGGAGGGAATTTGTTGGTTTATGAGCCACATCAGTTCCAAGTAGTCTCAGTAATCTTGTCGTGATTTCTGATATATAGTTTATGTACAATAGGATGATGGGTTTGTTGATTTCTGTCGATGGCTTTGTAGCTGGTGTTGTACGGGGTAGGCGTCTCCTGTAACCCTTCTAAGCAAAACAGCTTCTGGTGAACGAAATGGAATTCGCTGAATAAGCTGCAAAAAAAAGCTGACAGATAAATTCAATCTTGGAGTTTGTGTGGATTTATTTGATTTCAGGTTGGTATTCATCATGAGGTGACATCAATTGACGAAATATTGGAAACCTGGGAGCACTGGTCGGCCATTTCGTCCTACAATAGGACTCTCCAGTCACGCGCACCCATGACCCCGCTAGAGATCTGGTGCTCATTGCTGACTACCTCTGAGAGATGGTTCCCGAAGTTCTAATGAGAAGTCCTGACCGGCGAGGCCAACCAAGTCGAACATAGGGACCGTCAATCGGCTGTGGCAATAGATGGAAGTTGCGCTATATCATGAAATGACAGTAGTAGAAAATGTGGATTATTGGATCCCGACACATTGGTTCAATGTGAACGTCCTGGTCGCAGAAACTGGAAGTTCTGGGTTCGGTCCCTGAAGGAGTCACGGGTACGCACTGATGAGAATTCTCATATTACGGCGAAACAGCTGTCCAGTGCCCCCAGGTTCCCAATGTCTGTGTAACTGATGTCAGTCTATGATGAATACTAACCTGAAAGATAAATACCGAATTCTGATCAAAACATAAACTGGTCTTCTGAGACGATATGAAGCGGGAAAATAAACAAGATGTAGAACAACACGTATGTAGTTAAAGTATATGTAGATAAGAAATGAAAGTCAACTTACGCTTTTCAAACTCTTGCCAAGATCATGAAGATTAGACTCGCTAAAAAATAAAAAGGAATGGAGTACAAAACGTTACATTATAAGATAAATAATATTGCCGGAAACTGACACTAACATGGCGATAAATGATGCGAATGTACAACATTGAAAATAGCCATCGGTAATGAAATGCTTGGAAAATATCTAGATAAAACTTAAAAATTTTTTCAGAAATCAGTAAACAGGTTATAAGAAAACAGCTCTAAAATGACTGCTGAATGTTCAATAAGTAGAAGAGACTTGATTTGCAACAGTTACGATAATGAACAGTTCAAAAACATTTAGGTGATAGATAGTACTGTAACTCAGTGAGCCCTAGAGGAATCGAGAAGCTAACGTTTGCAAGATGAGATCGCCTACAAGTAAAATAAACCTGCTCTTGAGTTTTCTATAACTGTAATCACCCTCTGATAAACAGAAAGTGTTTGTAATGTGTCACCTAACGAACAGACCTAAGCTGTGGTGGACTCAGTTAAAGCTTCACAAGTTCCAAACAAAAAAACTCCTACTAAGAGCAACCATCGTTACCTGGAATTCAACAAAAGCCCTATTATTAAACATCCAGGAAATTACTCTTTTTACCTTTTTAGTTGGGAATTCTAACAACAATTGTTGATTATTTAATAAAGAGGAAAATTTGAAGTTCCAAATGAATAATCAGAAGGTATCCTTTTCCCAAAATTGAACAACAAACAGATACCTATGACCAATATTAGGTTTTACACGGTAGAACTGAGATCATGCGATTTTTTAAATAATGGTTTGTGCATTTTGCAAAGAAAGGGTAATCGGAAGACTGTTTAAGCGGTGGGATTTGAAACGGCAATGTTTCATTATTAATAGTAGTTGTATGTGAAGAAATTCGTTTACACACCATACGCCTTTATAATCAGAAAAGTTGTCAGTAAGCAAAACTTTAAAAGAGGGGGTAGACTGTTCAAATGATCAGTAGAATACCTTGAATGACAGTTTACTTCTTCCCCGCCTACTCTCCAGTTGCTCACTATCCACTTTTGGTCTGAATGGCATACTGAGATAGGATTTCTAAATCTTGCTGAAGTTGAGGCGCCAGATAGTATGTAAAGAGACAGGACAGTCACTCCCTGCTATAATACCTTTGGTATTTAAGGACGGTGGCCCAGGGTTATTGATTAAAATGACTGAGGTATCGGAATCAAATGTGGTCGCCTTGAACTGGTCTAATTTACTGACTCCCTTAAACTTCGAGGAGGAGTGTTAGGGATTTTGGATCTCAAGAATGAATGCTCAATGCTTCAAATTCATATAGCTTCCAGCATCTCCTTCCGCCTCTCGCGTACCGATCGTTTTCGGTGCTTTTAAGGATGCAGTTTTCCTATTCGTTGTTCTTCTACTTTCAGTACACTAATTTGTTGTTTGCTTCAGGGGCGTTTAATCTGTATATGAAGGCGGAGGTAAGGAAGACAAGCCAGTCGATGAGGCTGTGAATCTTTATCGACTCAAGTGATTTGAACATGTATTACACATGCCGAGCCACTGACAACCTCGAAGAACTGGGATGGAAGAAGATAAAGGCTGAACAAACAAAGACGTGACATCAGTCTATAAAGTAAGATAATAAATTATATCGGTTTATCTTTGAATCTTCTTCTGAATGGAATGTATTTGAAAAAGAGATAAATTTGTCCACAAATATTTTGAAAAAGGAAACATAAAAGATAATCAATTCTCAAACTAAACAGTCAACTCACATAGATCGTGTCTGAATCCATACTATGTAATCGTTAAGATATAAATCTGCGAATACATGATAACCTGGATAGGCAATTAAAATTTCACGGATTTCTAAGAGGCACTTTAAACACCATTCCTTGGCTAAAAAGTAAAAGTAAATGTGCTAATATAAATTCAACCATACAATTCTTCATCCTATTTCATTTTAAATTCATTATATGTAAAACTTGATAAGAATTTTAAGAGAATGTAAGTGGTCTCATCGAAGGTCTTATCCTCAGACTTCTAGTCAAGCAAACGCTCTGTGACGTCTGCTTACATAGAATACGAGTTCTACAATGGGCATTTAATCAATTTAACCATCAGTTTAATATACACACTATCAAAGCAAAACATTAAACAACTCTCCTTCTTATATCAACTGTTCCACTATTAATATGGACTATCTAAGTGATCTCTTCAAAAAACCAGCTAGTTATTGCTTATACTTTTAAAATGAAACAAGAACAACCACCGGAGAACAATACGGAATTATTTAACCCCAGAACTTCTCATCAGTTGTCTACAGCCTACAACAATTTTAATAACAGATATGTTCAGCTAGTATTCTGAACTCTAGGTGACGCCAAAATTATTTGGTTTTAACAACTATTTGAGAAAAAAGGAAAACTTTTATCGTAGCCCTAATCAGCATAACTGGAAAAACAAAAGGAAAACGACGAACACAGTGACCACTGGATATTTGAAGACTTTAAATACGTAACAAACATTATAATGTAATACCAAATAACACAAAATGTGCAAACTAAATGAACTGAGGTGTAAAACAAGTGGGAGGAATCGACCCTATCTGAGTAGAAATATTAAAAGTCAGTTGAAAGAACCTTCATTCAGTGGACAGAATAACAGATAATGATTCGGCTTGAAGGTGTAGATCAAAAGTCATTGTAGAAACGATTTAGTGTGATGCAGGGGTGTGAGAACGAACGAAAATACTTAACGACTGATAGTCAAGGGTTGAGACGATTCAATCCAAGTGATTCTCAAAGAGAAATCAAAAGACTGGAAATCAGATGAGTTTATAGTATCTCGGACTGAAAAGGTTTATGAGTGAAAACGGACCCTATTAATATAGTTTACAGTAACCTTGAAAAACAAGGAATAATTAGCACATTTAAAGAGGCAGGAGCCAATCAGAACAATAGTGGGTCATAGGAAATATGACCCATGCGCGGGAAAAATAGCGCGAATAAACCAGTTCGAATGTATAAAAACTGTAAGTATGGAATATAAAGAATAGAGGCATCTCTAACGCAATGTGTCTAATGTGCAGACTGTAGAAATCGAATCGCCCTGAGTACTATGTGTAAATCATTTACATCAATAAAGAAAAAAGACGAAGAATCAACATTTTCCGCTCATGAGCAGAATACAATTTCCTAAATTACCATCACGAGTACATTATATCAAAGTCATAAAATCATCAGCAGCAGTGGTAGCAGTTTCATTTCCTGGTTCAAACGTACCTTCCGGAGACAGAATAGCATGAATATGCACGCTACCATACAACATTGGGCTTGCACAAGATGGAAAACCTAATAGCTGTGAATAAATAAAGTACTACATAGGTCATTCATTAAACCCCAAAGAAAAGTGAATCGTCCTCACAACAATTAGATGCCATTTTAACAATTACCAGAAGGTTGAGGATACTAAATTGAAGTTGATTAGAAAGAGTAGCTTTAACTAGGAATGAAATATTCAGAAACTTCGAAATTTCATAAGGTTATTGAATATATAGTAATTTTTGGTGAGAACATTCATCTTTTTCAGTTGTACACAAAATAACTAGTTGTTCAAGAAATACACACATAACAAGAAGATAAATTTCAGCAAAAGAATAAAGGAATACGATGCTACCTATAGTAATCAATACACAAGACGGATTATAAATCCTTACCATTAGTATGCTGCAGGAGTTGAGAAGCATCCCGCTTAATGAGAGTGCAAAATTTCCAACTCCGTACTAAAGGATAGGTTAGCCCCCGTCTATAAAACGACCCAACGACTTCTGGTAAGGTATGATAAACCTAAGAATAAATAAAAAGCAAGATTTTACACATATTAAATTCCTGGGTGATACTATTTTGGAATTCCTTTTCAAAATCCCCCGTTAAAATTAACGCATCAAGTAATTAAACATCAGTTATTCTAATCTGCTAATTTACTAACACTTAAAGGAAGAGAAAGTTATAGTATTTACCTCGAACCAAGAAAGTGTAGCTGCTAGTTTCACAATATTCCACCCGGATTCACTCATTGCTTCACCTTCACGAATTTTGAAATCATATATATATGCAAATAATAAGTCGAGTAGACCCAAATATAAAGATTTTTCCTCTTCAGCACTTTCCGGTTGAGGAGGAAGTCGACGAGATGACAGAGTGATCAAACGATGCCTTTCATCGGATGTAAACTCAGGAGAGTCTTTATCATTTTGCCATGGGAGCTCTACTTTGGTCAGATGAATCCAAGAATCTGATTCAAAATAATCCGCACTGTTTTATACGAAAAAGAAACAAATACACGACTTACAGAACAAGTGAGAGGAATACGTTAACGGTTATACTATTTGAAACTAGAAACTCTCAAAAGAGATTCAAAATTCAGCATTGACTTTGATTTTTGCAATATCTGCAAGTGGATCCTGAACCTAGTTGGCACATGTTACTGCCACTTAAGCATTTTAGGATTTAGAGGTAACCAAGTTCGACGTGCTGCGTCTCGGTAGTAGCTAGTAGCAGGTTATCTTGTACACCCTAGTCTAGTTATTGGTCTTCATGCAAAAAAAACCCTGGTTACATCAGTGAACAGTTACCAGATATTTTCTTAGATTCATATTTGAAATAACACGCCTGTTAATAGAACTTAACTGTAAGTAAACACCAACCAAATAAGACAAGCTTTCGAAGACACTATTTGTAGAATGATAATGAATCCACTGAATGAGTGAATAGGACGATGACTATATTCATCTTGAGGGCACAGTCATACATCAAGCTCATACTAAACTTCAGGCAATTAAGCATTAACTTTTAACTTAATTTCATAGACGACGGCCACGGAAATAATAAAATGTATCTGTCCATTGACAGGGAAACCAACGAGTAAATGATCGTATAAGTTCTTCCTTCAATGTGGGTACAAGACTGTTGTATCTGTATGCCAAAAGAATGGAAGCAATAACCAATCAATCATGAGTATCCTTAACGTGTTCACCTTTTTCTCTCTTATGCTGATATTGTCTAGGCCGTCTACGCATTAAGGCCTTATATACTTCCCATATATTTTGATAAATATCAATAATTGTGACTTGTGTGAGTTAGTAGCTTGACCTCGTTTACTCTCTGAGTCGACCGGTGTGACTTTCAAAATTATAGGGTCAACTAGTATTTAGAAACGCCGGAATAATGATACGTATGACCAGCGTTCGGCATCACTCGCAGTCCGTTGACCGAATAGGAAACCCGAACCAAGGTTAAGATCAGTATCAATAACCAACCAGTAAGATCAGTGGCATAACAAGGACAAGTTATAAACCTTTCACATATGACAGTTAAGAAATATCAATGAGAAACAATTTCATAAAACAGCCAGGATAACGAACCACTTTGAGTGAAGAATACGAAAAGGATACGATTTTCTTTCATATGCCCAACATCGAACTATCAAAATGGACTACAATAACTACTTGTTGTGGTAAATAATACCTTAATGAGATTAACAACTAAGTAAGAGGTAGTTACTATCAATATGAAACTTGCAATTACCGCATAACAGTCCAAGTGTCCACTTTGATATCACCACATCATAACACAAGACAAATCAACGAAAGACAAAGAAATGGAAATAACAACCAAAAGTCGTAGAAAGCCATACAACGAAAACAAGAGGATATAAAGGAAATGATGAGATGTGGTGTGACGATTACGATGAAAATACTATGTGAATGCAACCAGAGTAGCCTACTATCGATTTCCAGTATCACAACGGCTTCAATCTGGAAGTCTACAGTTCCCTACACATCTCAGATATGCAGTAATAGACTTTATGAACTGGCATCATGTTCTAGTCTGGATACAATTGACTTTTTTCGCACCTAACGCCGATTTGGCCAAGACAGTACGTCAGGGTAGATGTGAAAAAATCATAGTATGAGGATGTGCAGTCTTGTCGACTTTACAATAAAGAAACACCAAGATGGAAATTTGAAGCTTACAGAAGACTTTGCTAAAAACATGATATTAATAGATTGTGATAGAATTCTAATAGTTTCATTTAAATGCAATAATCAACTACTAAATTTATGTCCTAAACATTCATGTAAACAAAAAAGCAACCTTTTGTGTACTTTAATGATGAGTCAAAGTAAAAAATGAAACAACATAGTAGGACTTTCGAACGACAATGGAAAACAAAAACTTACAGATAATGGTCAACAGAAAACTTTTTTTCCTCTTCTGCTTTCTTGAGCTCCGATCGTCTGCAAATACTGACACTGTCCGGATCCGGCAAATCTACTGCATGCGTTAGGTCAGACTATCACGAAAAATCAAAAAGAAAGTGCATGCAAGGTATTTTCGCGAAAACGATGTTGCAAAATTCTGGTTGGTGAAAGTACGTTGTGTAAACTCCTCTGTATGTGTGTGTGTGTGTTCACCAGAATATTATAGCATATACATATAAGATTTCATCAGTAACCAGATCACCTGAGCTGATTCAACTTCTCAAGCAAGCTAAATTATCAACAAATTCTAACGATTTATTCCCTACCCCTAAACTAGGAGTTGGTCCAGACTAGTCCTGAAGTATAATTTTACATCTGACATGTGCAAAACAATAGGTAAACATACTCAGGTTTCTGCTCAATGTATCCAGAAGACCTCGCACTTTATCAGCATCTTCGCCAGAAAAGAGCATTTCATCTGAGTACTCCAAGTTAGCGAGACTCCTAACTAGGGTGAGTCAACCCCTGGATATCTGTCATATCCATCATCACACTTACAACAACGTTAAACAGGAATGGCGACAGAGAGCATGCTTAGAGAACACCACTCGTTTTTGTTACTTCAGATGGCAGTTTTCCATAAGTCCATAAACGTCTGCACAACTTCGAGTAGAGAGTCACAATTACCAGTACATGCTTCTCCCGTAATCCCTTCACAGTCAGTGATTTTTTGTGATTGCCATTAAAACAATTCCGTGCTGCCTTACAAACTGTTATGTCTGGTAATCTAGACCAGTCTGATGCAACTACTTCTTGTCCCCATACACTAATTAATAACACTGTTATTCCATTTAGCTATTTTCTACCTTAATCTCTAAAACCCAGTGACAAACAGTCGAGTTCTGATGCTTTGCATCGTTTCAGGTTAAAAATAGCCTTCTCAACCTCACTGACATTTAGAGTGCCAACATAAGCAAATCATTCAGCTTTTAACTGGATGCTAAACAATCGAAACGTGGCTGTAAACCAGTTGGACAGTTCTTCAAAATGTAGTGTCCAACGTTCCACCCTCGTGTCTTGAAAAATTATCAGAAACCCATCCGCTTTGATGACGGTGTAACTGATCATTGTCTTCTTCTTGCCAGTTTACTTGATAATCCTAAATAACTGCCGAGCATTACCTAATCTCGATGTATTTTCCGCTTCCTTCAGTTTTGTCATCCACTAGTACTCTTGGTTATTACGAAGACTCTTGATTGACTAACTTACTTTTAAGTTGCTTTCGCCCCTCATCGCAGTCACGTTGTTAATGGTTTTTACGCCTGTTTCGACATCAGAATAAATATCATACCAGGTTTTGAAAGTGATCAGGCGATGCCTTTCAGGGGAGTTTCGGATGTGTTACATCCCGACTAGAAAAATCCATGCCGCACTTCAGAGAGGAGTGTGCAGCTTTTTAGGATGAACCTTTGTAATTCGTTTCCCCATAATGTAAGACAGCGTGAATATTGAGTGTCGGTTATCTGTGGAAAATACGTTACTGCTTTCACACGTCATACAAACATCAGTACAACTTTGCTACTGAAACTTTTTCATGGCGTAAGCGATTAATACTGACGGTAACTGTGACTATGCAACAGTTTTTTGACATAATTGAAGTTCAAGAAAAAACTCGATCCAATATAGCTCGTTTGGTCATTGTTTTATGCAATCCAGTCGCAGAAACAACATATATCCATGACTAGAGATCTTAACCTTTTAGTAAGAGAGGCCTATTGTCAGATCTTCCAGAGTTCTAACGTTGAAAGCTTAAGTGTGAAATTGGCGGCGTCATTTTTACAAACTAGGTCTGATAATTTGCTGGCTCGAATAGTTAGCAATAGTTGCAGCGTGAGTAATTCAAGTTATAAGGAGATTAATGTTGGTTTCAGGAACTTAAGTCAAGAGAGGTAAACGTAAGAAAAGTAGATTATAGGTAGTTAGGTCCCGGACTTCACTGGAATTGTGTGAGCCACTGGTACTGTCCTCCTGCCCACCTGAGGAACCTATATATATATATATATATATATATATATATATATATATATATATATATATATATATATATATATATATATATATATATATATATATAAATGAAGATTTATGAAAACCGTAGTGTAATAGACCAGGATATCGAAAATGGAAACTGAACCTACCTCATCACGAAACAATCCGGACTTCGAGCCACCAAAACCGTAAGTTGGATTAGAAATAACTAAATCTTCTTGTGTTGGGCTTTTATCCTCCGTCATAAACCAATCCAAGGACCAGGTCCTTTGTGGCTCGACCGGATCATTCAGTTCCTCAATCAAACTCTTATGCGGATTAGTTTCAGGTGAAGTTATCAACAGTTTTGCAATCAAACCTAAATCCTTGAAAGGTCCAGGTTCAGATTTCTCGAATGTTATGTGTATATCACCATCAATAAACTCACAATCATATGTGTTTTCATCTGTTACCACAGACCCAGGAATGTCGAATCTATACAAAATCCATCAATTAGATTTCATACAACAACCTACTTAAGATAATAGGGTGAGGAGTCGAAATAGAAAGTTTGACCTTCAACACACACTTCCATTTCAGATATATTTGCCATTGGAGCATGTATAACGACTTTAAGTTTTGTATCGCTCTGCTCCAAACGAAATAGTGGAGTCAGCACCATTCTCTACAGAAATGTGTACAGGAACTTGGTGATTGATGTTAGAATACTCAGAAAACACTGAAATAGAGTACCACTAAAAAATTCGAAGAAATATGGAAAGTTCATAACTTCGACTAAGGAACAGATGCAAATTAGTTGTCAAAACACTTCACCTGTTAAACAACGTCAGAAAATGAAAACTTCCATCTCATAGACGCATATTAAAGACATTAAAAAATATATTAGTCGGTCTACACTATGCTATTCTCAAACACGATGGGTGTATACAGAACCCGATATGAAAATGAACTTAATTATACTTCCCAGATATCGTTTATCATCCCGAACACAATTTGTTTCACGAACTTTTACAAACCCTGATCTATTCGTTTCCTGTCCTCTCATACGCTTCACATTTTTCAACATCAGTATTTTCAGACACTTTCTCCATGTCCTGCTGTGAAGTGTGCCAACTAGAAGTCACATATGTGAACAAAGGTGTACATTAGCCCGACTAATTGCTCGCTTATTACTTACGGCGAGTAAATTTTCTGGTCCCTCAAGCGAATCACTCGCTCTAATACGAACCTTCAAGCATCTATGCTTCATACGCAATAAAATAGGAAACTTCCACATGATACTCATCCACACCCGCAAAATATAACGTCAGACAAAAAGCATTCCATTAAGACAGAGTCAGACAGGCAGAAAAAACCAACCTCGAACCTAGCACAGAAGTGCATCATTTCAAGTTCCCACACTTAACAGCAGCAAGCAAAACGTGGGTAAAAACCGTTGTATCTAAGTATATACCAACAAATGATGGGAAAAGTGAATTTTAAAATCAAACTTCGTGAAAATGCCCGAGCATTAAATGACGTTAAAAATGAATCCAACAGTTCTCTTGAAATTTTTGTGCGACTTATATGTGAATCCATGATTCGTTACTATCCATTTATCATCATACTACCTGCCCAGTCAAATATTAACATCCTGAATCTAAATCAAATATGTTGACATAACATTCCGTACATTTTCACTGCCAACAGACAAAACTTCAGAAGACTCTGTGCATAGACTTACTAGTGATGCATTTGTTGGAGCCCATGTTTTACAGAATGTGTCTATCATTAATTAATTAGCAATAAGTCTAAGAACCAAGTAGAAATTCTACAGAGATATTCTGCTGAAGCCAACAAACAGGATAATGACTGGTTCTATCTAAAAGCCTCCATATGATGCCCCCTATTACACAAGTGAGTGTATAAGACCACGTGTTCACTAGTTAACAGCTAGAAGATGTAATCCACCAGCCACATGAAGATTCATATTTCAGGTTGTAAATTACATCCATGGTTTGTGGAAGTGATGCTGATTCATCTCGCAGTCATCAAAATAGTGTCCCAACCAATAACTCAATGAAGATGATATTTCCAGAATACTGAGTATCTAACAAACAGACAGTAGATGTGAACCAAAGATTGAATACTAATGACCTGAAGGCTACATTAGCAGTAATAATTCGAACGAACCAGTCCCACTTGAAGACTTGTATCACTATACCTATGAAAAACCGTTACTTCATTTAGTTGTAATTTTAACAAGGTTTACTGAGGAATCAAACACATTGAGATTGCAAGGCATATTGCCACTGAACGACAACATAAAATAATAGAAGCGTTCAAAAACTTAATATTCAGGCAAAAACGAACTTTTGAGTGATTGTTGACGCTAATCTGGAGCTACGGTTCATTCTTATAGGAAGGCAACTTTCAACCACTTTGCTGCGTATTCGAACCTCACTCCAAATACCAAAGCTTGGGAAACCACATAGACAATAGCTGTGAGTGATTACCCAGTGCAGGAACATGACCGTGACTACTGAGTTAGTTCAGCTTCTTTACTGACACCAATGAGTATAAACAAAGAATAGGGCTTGAAAGTTTGTAAGCTACACACAGTTGATACCTACAAATTGCCTGCACCTAGTGTGTTTTCGAGGTTATGATCATGAGAAAAATTGAACCGAATAATTGAATGGTAGCATAATCAGTGTTATTCACTTAATTCACATGGAGAAGTTGCGTCATCTTGTCCCCCAGCTAACAACGACAGGTTATAAGCAGAATGTTACAAAATGACCGCATAACTCAAGAGATATCTATTATGTCCAAACTGTATGTAGTTCTTTTATAAACTTATTTTCAGATTAGAATTTACCATAAAGGCAATCAGACAAAGTTATGTGAGAGAATAAACAATGTGAAGATAACGGTTGGCGCGAAAATTCAAGCTTTACAAGATGCCAAACCAAGGATGCATCTGCATCACCGTGAACGACTTCCAGTTATGTCACCAACAGTCCTCAACCACTGATTCCTATCGTATAGGGGACCACAGTCACACAGTCTACATTTCCCCCACGCCACTCAGATCAAGAAATTTATGGACTGGTAGCACGTCTTCGTCTGGCCATCCTGAACCCTCTTCCAACCTAACCCAGCTTCCTCCAGTACAGCAAATCATGCGCAACACATGTCTAAGCTATCTCAGTCGATGAGTATTCGCAACCTCATCAATCGACTCTCCCAGTGCCTTTCACCTGACCAACACATTGCTCACACAGTAACTCCAGCAAACGAGAGCAATGCAAGACACCTATGATCAAAATCCTGCAATCGCTTCACATCTTATACTTTCAACAGCCATATAACAGCCGTACAACAGGCCAGAACGAGCTGCAGCGCAGTATACTCGTTCCTTTGGTAGATAGTTGGCACCAGAGATAACACGAGCCGATAAATGCCAAACGAACCCTCAGCATCTGAAATGAGACTTCGTCAGCAACCGGCCCGTTCGGGTTGATGCGACTACCCCAAATAAGTGAAGTGGTCAACACATCCCACCACTACCCTCTCTATCACTAAACTGAGGGTACTTGCAGTAGACCAGTCCTGGGGCATCATCTTATATTTGACAGGTGCGAAACCCATACCAAACTTACCCAGACTTATGCACAACGCGTTCAGAAGACAATGAGCTTTGCCAGCGTTTTCACCTAACTCGACAACATCGTCTGCATACTCCAAGTCAACCGGATGACCTCCAGGGAGTAAGTCAATCCCTGTGAGGTCAGATCTACCTAACGTTATGTCCATTAGTACGTCTATGATGAAGTTAAATAGGAACGGTGACAGTGGGAATCCCTGGCGGACACCACTAGTTCTCGTCAATTATGAAGACAACTCTCCATTAGCTCTTAGATGGCCGTTTGATTAGCGTTATATACTTCCATGGTACTCCTTTTACAGTCAGATACTGCCACGGCACGTGGCGGTCGACCGAGTGAAACGCCACCTTCAGGTCAAAAAATGTGGCAAGTGTTGACCACTAGTCGAAAGGTATGCCAGCATTTCAGAACCTGTCGGAGTGTGAAAATATGATCGATTCACCTCCCTCCAGGTCTAAAACCTGTCTGGTCTCCCCAATTATGCTGTTCTCGAGCTCCAGTTAGGCGTTGGAAAATTATGGACCCAAGGATCTTGAACACGATATTAACTTAACTGAATTCCGAATGGTTGCTGCAAGAAAATCTCTAACTTTCAGTAAACTTTCAATGAGCATTAAAGTAGAACAGTGTGACGAATTCCTGCGGTCACAATAGTCTAGTACCTCCGGTACTCGTCAGTAAATTCCTACCTCCACCCTTAAAACCTTCGGGTGGAAAACCCTCAGGTACTGCTGCTTTGCATTGTTTATGGTTCGAAACAGAGTTCTCAACTAAAAGGATATCAGGACGTAGATCTACGTACCATACTGTTAATACTGCACAACTGAAGTTTTGTTGTGGGCCAGTTGAGCTGTGCTTATAGTTTTCTGCTCACCGTTTAAGCAGTCTGTCCTTAGAGGACATCGCAATCATGCATTTAGGTAACGGTCTTACTATTATCTTCTTACCAGCATCCCTAATAAGTCTAAATAGTTTTCGAGTATTACCTAACACTGTGAAGGTATTTTACACCAAATCCCTCAGCATTAGAAATGGAATCATAGACATCGAGACTCTAGTCTATGAACTAGGTCCTGAAGTAGTAGTGGCCGTTACTAAAACCTAGGTAATAAATGTTTTGGATTTCACGTGTTACTGTGTAGTGACAGACAGGGTTGTGGGTAGCAAAGGTGGCGGCATGTTCGCGATATCCACACAATCAGTCACCTCAGAAGTACATGAATCCGGTACCTGAGAAGTGGCCAGTTGTGGTCTGAAATCGAAGCAAGGTTTATGTAATATCAGGGTAATTCACCGTAGTTCGTCTTGTCTTGCAAATGACTTCATGCTAATTCATATACGTAGAAGCAGCAGATGCCTAGTAGTTGGGGATCTGAATGCTCCACACACAAACTAGACAGAGCTTACAGTCTTAGCCTCTGGCAATTGCCTCGAAAATGACATATTTTCAACGTTAGTAGAATTTGCTTGGGCCAAACGACACGATTCTGAACACAAGTCATCGTTATTAGATTTTTTTTTAACCCACCAATGTGGAGATATAGTAGATCTGAGATACTTCTCTCAGTTAACTAACAGTGACCATATAGTGCGGATTCTCGACAGAAGTAGAACTCAAGGAACCGTCGTTTACTAATTCTATAACACGAAGTTAGAAGTTTGTGCATACTGACTACACCGAATGTTATGCTATTTCCTCAGGAGAAGAGGCCCTAACACCATCAGACAGAAGCCTGACTTTCTCCTGTCTTAGTACACACCTGACGTTACAGTCTAGCACATAGAATTCACTGCTGTCTGTTTCTCATTACGCATTACATCACTAATTGAACAATCATATGTCACAAGCAATGCTACGGTGAATAGTGACTGCACAGTTTTAGCTCCACATTTCTCACCTTTAATCAATATTGTTGAAAGTTTACAAACATTATCACGTGATCATCAAAGATACTACTTACAAGTGATCCACACCCATTAACTTCACCTTGAGATGGCCTTGAAACAGCCGATTAATGCATATCATAAAAGGAGCAGATTCTTTACTTACTTTTGACACTTAAAGCTCTAAAAGCTTTTGATTTGAATTACATGATGGGTGCATACCACTTATTCAATAATGAGGACAATATACATGGGTGGAACTACGGAGTATAGACCTCATCGAGAGACCATTAAATTACCTTGAAGTGATCAACCGTACTCGAGTTGACCACGTAGACTATCTGAAATAGCCCTAGTTTGAAAGACTATTGTTTATACTGAGTGATGACTGAAGGTGAGACGAAAATCTGGACGGCGGCTGGATTTGAACTGTAGCGTCACACACACTTCCCCAAAATCAATAGCCTAGGGTTTGACGACTTTCGACAGTGATGCTGACCTTGATAGTTTAACTGGACTCGCTAAGCTGAAGGCACCCAGTCAAGCATCCTCGCCGTTTGGCACGCTGTCATGTTACGTTGCACTGCTCGTATTCGACTCTGTAGCCAGTTAGTTGGAATGCATCGGTATTTTGGCACAACCATCCAAATATACTATTCCACCCGACTACGCTATCATGTTCTTCCTTGATCTCGTATTCGTGGGTATATGACAAGCCTGAATAATTAGTGATTGGTCTTTGCGTCTGTCAAGTTCGCACCAGGACAAATCCTAAAGAACCACCGCCCACTGGATTTCCGGAGCTACGAGGTCGTCGTAGCCCAGTTGGTAGAGCATCGAACCGGAAACCCGGCGGTCTCTGGTCCGAATCCTGCCACGGTCCACATTTTCATCTCACCTCCCATCGTCACCTAGTATAAATACTAGTCTTTCAAACTACGGCTATCTCAGACAGTCAAATGATAATCGTAAAGTAATTATTGGTGAAAACAAGACGAAACCATAAGTTAAGTCGACTGGTAGGATTTAAAAAGTGGTACAGCAAAACTGTAAAGAATATGCAGCTTTCACTTGCGTTCCCAGCGAGGTCGATCTGTCAACGAGATGGAACGTTGCCTACCTTCCATGCTAGGCTTTGACAGGAGCATTTCATCTGTCTTCCTGGGAGGCTGGATACTGAACTTTGGTCTGCCCTCGATGATCATTGCTGAGACAGATTCACGCTCCTGGGTAACTTCATCGGAACAGTCTAGTCACCTTGATTTTCATCAGACCAGCACAAAGCAGTATAACCGGGAGACAAACGGCGCAGTGGAGGCAAACTACAGATGCTACCATAACCCCTCTTTGACGCAAAAAGATGCATCCAGATGGAACGGACTACTATACCTCACGCTGCCATACAACCACTCCGGAACTAAGACCTTGAATGCACACCAGCTCGATTAACGTACTTGGCAGATACAGTTTAAACTGGCCAGCTGACTGGCTGTCGTAACAGATCAAGTTTACGTGCACACCTACGCGAGTGGTCTCCCACATATGCTGTTTCGATGTAAGCCAACGGCTGGCCGCATGAAGACACGATAAGCGCTGTTAAACGGGTACATTTCTCCTTGTCTCACCTGATGCAGTCTGAAAAGGTTTCCAGCTGTCTCATAAAGGTTTGTTCACTGTTGTTAAAGAGCAAAATATTTTTTCACCGTCATGACAGCCATGAGGCTCCGAAGAGAGGGCATCAGTGCAATCACTCATGCCACCATGATTGACAGTGAAGCAGAAGTAAGGCCACTGAAACTCCACCTGAAGGATATACCCTTATCACAGCTGCAATTTATCCACCTAACGATGGCAGCCAATGCCGCCCGTCTCCGAAGTACACACTATGGATGATGAAAAGTGAACCTGTATCTTATTTTCATTTCACCACTAAACACTCACCGAACTTCTTGAGATGTAAACTCGGCTTAGTATGCATTTATATCTACACATATTCTCACCTACATTATTTCTGTTTACAATCCAAATTTACTTCCTTAGCTCCAGTTAACCACATCCAGGTGTACGTGTGCGTTTTTCAAAGATGTGGGCATCTACTGTTTTCCTTGCGGTTACAAATGCCATCAACTATAAAACCCCCTCAGTTTTCTTAGGTCGACCGACATCAACCATGTAGTGAAGTGGCAGCAGAAAACAGGCTGCACATTATATTTATATATATGTGCGCACACATATAGTATTAGTAAATTGGCCTGGCTAACCGTGGTTTAGGTTCGTGCCCGTCCCTCTTCAAATGAGCATAAAACGCAACTATAAGTCTGCATCATTACGTTTTACTGCAAGCATTTCGGTTCAAGAATTATACTGACCCCACACCTCATCGTTTCTGTCATGCTGACAGCTCAGATGCCCACTTTCATCGACCACAGAAAGGGACATTTAGCCACTGCGCAAATGACTATTTAATCACACTTGAGTAAAAATTGACGTTACATCCCACCAACAAGCTCTCCTGTACACTTTTCTTAGTGTCTGCATTTGTAAGTTTTGTGTGTGTCTGCTGCCGAATCTTGCCTTCAGTACATTTCGTGTTGCCTATTATGTAGAAACAATGTTTTTCGCTTCCTGCTTGTCCTCCCAGTCTTTCCCACTGTCTACAACGTATGATGGATTTTCTCTGAAAAATGAGAAAAACTCATCTTTTTCAAAGATGCCAACAATCTACCTAATAGCATTATTTCTCAAGTTCTGTCAAAGCCACATTTATCGACTCCTCATATCCTGTTACTGAGACTAAATTCGGGGCATACTGAACCAAACGTACCGTTTTCGGATGATCCAACTTTTTGATCTCTTGCTGCTCTCATTATGTTTCCGGCCAAAGTTTTAGTTTCGTGAACTTTTAAGCGCCAGACCCCGTTACATTACTCGCTATCCGTGAGAGACACCTCATCTTTCACATAAAACCCTTCTAGGAAACTAGCAGAAGTGGTAGGCAGCCACTAGCGGCACGATATGGCGAAAATATCTGCGTCGCATTGCAGTTTTCAGATGAGTGAATGGTATTCTTATGTGAGCAAACCAACTTCAAACTGGATTTTGAGTTATTTATAGCTTTTGAACCATGCTAGCCAGCCGGAAAATTTCGCAATGTCCATCGTCTTGAATTCCCGCTTTGTTAGGCCAATTTTTGGCCGGCCTACTATTTTCAGTCACTTTTACAGAATCGAAGTGATATGTTTTTGAATACGCAGATAGCTATCCTCAAAAATTTCTCTTACTTTTGGGTATTCGAATATCGACCATGATACTTAACTTCCACCGGCTTTTTTCTGCACTGACGTGTGACAGTTTGCTTCCATTAGGTGGATTCCTAAAATGGTCTCTGCTTCAGGAATGCTTGTTGTGAGATTGTGGTTATTGGGTAAAGGATATCGGTTTGCGGGTGCGTGCCTCTTACAGTCTTTTGGTCTCTTAACTGTTCTATCCCTTTCGAAAGTTTCTCCGGTACGCTTCAAATTTTTGGAAGCTGGAAATTGCCATATGGTGGCTTACATCTCCAGAAGCTTCTTGTTTGTCATTGCAGACACGGAGCGACAGCTCAGCCGTGAATATCTTTGC